CCGCAGGCCAGCAGGGACCCCAGGGCTGGCTCCACGGCAGCTGTTCTCAAGGTGCCACCCTGAAGCAGGGAGGTTTCGGCAGGCACACGAGCAGCCCTGGGCCCCTGCAGTGCCGAACGGAGGGCTCACCCCGTCCCTCTCCCCGGCAGGGCTCTGGGTGGACATGGAGGTCACCTACAGCGGCTCGTTGCAGATGACACTCGAGACAAAGATGAACCTCTGTAAGCTGGGGAAGGAGAGCGCTGCAGAGGAGAGCGGCCCAGCAGAGGCAGGCGGAGAGGGGTAAGGAGGCTGTGTGTGGCTGGGTTTCATCTTCATCCTCCTCCTCCTCCTCTTGCCTGAGCAAGGCAAGAGGGTGCTGGCCCCGGGGCACAGCCGTGATCCCCCCTTGGGGCTTGCAGGGCCAGGCCAAGGCTGATCCTGCTGGCAGACAGCGACGCGGAGTCGTCCAGCGCTGGCTCCTCCGATGAGGAAGACGTCACCGCTGCAGAGCCCACGGGAGCCCTGGGGGATCGGGCCCCACCACCCAGCGCCGAGGGGTAAGGGGCTGTGCGGGGTCTGCCCCGCGGGGTGCATGGGGGAGGCACGGTGCTGCGCCAGCACGGGGGCTCGGGGCCGGTTTCCCTGGGGAAGGCACCCACAGGCACCCCGGCAAATCACGGCCGGTGGATAGGGGAGCCCTGTCCCTGCGGGGTGCTGGGCAGGCGGCCGGGGGGATGCCGAAACCCAGCACGGCCGCTGGGTCTCATCCTGCTGCTGAGCTGTGGCGCCCCTCGCTTCAGCCACGTCAGCGGCAACAGCACGAGCCGGAAGATCCTGCGCTTTGTGGATAAGATCGCCAAGTCCAAGTACTTCCAGAAGGCCACGGAAAACGAGTTCATCAAAAAGAAGATCGAGGAGGTTTCCAACACGCCGCTGCTGCTGACGGTGGAGGTGCAGGAGCTGGCAGGCACCTTGGCCGTGAACATCCCACCACCGCCGACGGACCGTGTCTGGTACCAGCTCTTCTCCCTCCCGTGTGGGGACCCACATGCATCCTCCTTCCAGCTCCCCTTGCTCCCTGCGGCTCAGCCAAGGAGACAGCTCTGGGGCTTGATGCTTTCTCCCTCTTTCCTTTCCCCTCGCAGGTACAGCTTCCGAGTCCCACCTCAGCTGGAGCTGAAGGTGCGCCCGAAGCTGGGCGAGCGGGAGGTGACGTTCCTCCACGTCACCGAGTGGATCGAGAAGAAGCTGCAGCACGAATTTCAGGTGCCTGGTCTGTTAAAGGGCTCCGCAAACCCTGCTGAAGCGTGGGCGTTGCTGCAAGCAGGGGTGATCTCCGCAAAAAGGCAGCATCTGAGCTGGTCCGTCCAGCTTCGGAGAGCAAAAAACCCCCCACAACCTAAGTAACCAGCCCTAAGGGCTGGTGCCCTGAGCACTAGAGTGCTGGAGGAAAAGTGGTTTCTCCCAGTACTGCAGCCCTGCCCCAAGCAGGGGGGGATTAGGAGTGTCAGCAAGTTTGGGAGATTTACCGTCGCAAGGTCAGCGATCTCCCGTCACAAGGTACCCGCTGGTTTGTTTTCTGCCTCTCACCGTGGAGACCTTTGTTCAAAGCACAGAAATGTCCCCACAGATATTTAGGTACCCAAATTCCCCCCAAAGCGTCACCGATTTGAATGGCTTCAAAGTGCTGGTCCCTGCCCTCTGCCATGGCCACCCTTGAAGCCATACGTACACGTAAGGCAGGGCAAAATAAAACCGCTCCTGCTTGTCCCCACCCCGAGACACCCAGAGCTGGTGACCCCCTCGGGCCAGGCACAGCCAGCTGCTGACGAGGGGACAGGAGCCCAAGACCCCCTGTTCACCTCTGACCCGAGCTCCCGCGGCTCCTGCCAAGGCCACTTCCCAGCAGATGTGTCACCAGTCAGGCGGCGGTATTCGAAACCGCTGATTGTTATTCTGGATTCCTCCTTTCAGAAAATTTTGGTGATGCCAAACATGGACGATCTCATCATTCCCATCATGCGCTCTGGCCTGGATCCTCAGCCGCCCACTGGGGGCCTTCCCAGGGACCCACCAGCCAAGGGAGAGAAGAGGCTCTGAAGCGCAGCCCCCACGGGCAGGGCAGAGACACTGCACGGAGCTCAGGGACCTCGCTGGGCCCCGGGGCCACTGACTGCACCCAGGGCTATGCCCTGGCGTCCGAGCTGCTCGGTTCATCTCATCCTCAGCACTTTTGTAGACGAGCCTCCTCCTGAAATACTGCAAGCACACGTTCAGAGCAGAACCAGCCCCACGGCGAGGGGTTCGCTGGAGACCCAGGAACTTCATGCACCTCCTACCAGGTTCCCAGGGCTCCTGGTCAAGGGGACAGCTCTGGACCAGCGGAGGGCTGGGCTTTCCACTGTCTGGTTCCCAAAGAGGGTGCAGGACGCCCAGACCGGTTCTGCACTGAAGGAGTTGGGATCACCGCTGATCCAAGACATCACAGCTCCGACAGGCATCACACCCTCCCCGCTGGCAGCTGGACTGCGAGGAAATCCTGGGTGGGAAATGAGTCCGAAAGCTGAATAAATCCATCACTGCCCAGTCCTACCTAGCAGCCGTCTTGTTGTACCCGAGTTCCCACATCTGAGGACGCCAGACGGGATCGTGGGGCTTGGGCAGAAAGAACTCCACGGGTCATACTTCCAGCGCAGCAAAAGGGGGGCCTGGGTGGGCGTGTGTGAGAGGCAGCGAGGGGAGAGATGGTCAGTGAGACCGGGAGGCCCTGTATTCCCAGTAGAAACTGGGGCAGAAGTGCCGCTACCTGCCCTGCTCTCCTCTGGAGCAGAGGAAGGGGAGTCTTCACCGCGGTTTGGGTGAATGCAGGCAGTGGGGAAAAAAAAATCCCTGGGCAAAGGAAAGGGAAGATCCAGAGGACAGAGCAGACACTTGGCTGTCCCAGTTAGTCCCTGTCCATATGGGCCAGCCCCAAGTGCTGCGTGTCCCATCCTCACCTGCTTGAGGACACACTGCTGCCCACAGGCAGCACCGAAAACAAGCGAGACCCCCCTGCAGAAGGAGGAGAGGGAGCCAGCGTGGCTTGAAGCCTTTTTATTGAAGGCACCCAGTTAAGCAGTCTTGAAAAATCTCAGTTCTTACAGCTCTTCCTGCACTCCTCGCTTCGCTTTCACCAAGTGTTTCTTCTGAGGGCCCTGGAAGAGAGCGGAGAGGAGAGGTCTCAGGGTAAGAGGCAGATGAACCCGGCCTACAAGGCTGCGCGTGAGCTGCGGGGAGCAGAACCGCAGCTCTGGCCGCTTTCTGCTGCGCGAGGCTGCTCCTGGTGCCTGCTCCTCAGCTGGCAGCTCCGTGCCGCCGCTCCCCAGCCACCCCTGGGGTGTCCCTCAGCGCCGCAGGAACCACGAGGGGAACATCGCTGCCCTCGCGCAAAGGGGGTGTTGACGTGGGCAGCGCGAACGCAGCCAGCGAGCCGCCGCGAGTGGCCTGCTCGGAGCCGGGCGGGCAGGCGGGGGACCGGGAGGGGAGCAGTAATTGCGCCGACGAATTCGACCAGGAGCTTGCCGTGGTGGTGGAGCGGCTGCCGAGCTGCTCTACGAGCCCTGGAGGAGGCAAGGCCAAAGGCCCAGATTCTCATCAGCCAACTCGACAGAGCCTTGAGGGGTTTCCACCAGCTCCGGAATGGGGTTGTCCCAGACCAAGTCAGTCCTCTGGGAGCAGGTGGCAAGAAGTATTGATGTGTGTCTACTTCCAGCCAAAAGTAAAGTTTTACCACAGTATATACATGGGGGAAAAGTCTCACCCCACGGGCAAAAATGGCAAAGAAAACAGCTGTAACCAGGTAAAACCACCTCCTGTCACTAGGATCCACGTCACAGCCCCTCAGGACTTGCAGCGACAGCCAGAGCAGAACACAGAACAATCCCCTAACAGTGAGATCAAGGAAATCAGCTTAACCTCGAAAGAGCTCTGCAAAGGCACTGCACAGCCAATCCCCCTGGCAGGGCTAAGGAGGCTTAGCCAGTTGCACAGGGGATTTCCAGCTGACAGGCCAGATCCAGACTGGGTTTACGCCTGCGCGGTATCCAGGCAGTTGTTTCTTTCATTTCTGCCAGCTGAAGGCCTGGCTTGCTTAATGCTTCCTCAATTTCACACTCAGACTTATGCACCAGCCCGGTGCAAGCTGCAAAACTGTTGAAGAAACTCCGATTGCTTTGGATTTATTTCATTTTTTCTTTCGCCCTGGACTTAAGAAAAATATACCGCTTGGCCTTTCTGCAAGCTTCCTGACAACAGAATCGCAGATTTGTGTCTGAATTTGACCCAACCTTTTCTTCTGAAGAAAATTAAAGCTGTAAATCATTCCAAACAAATCAAAGCAGTGCACAATTATGGGTGAAAGGGACCATATGGCCAACGCAGTGCCTGCCAAGTTAACGGCTTGTTTAAAACATCCCGTGGTGAATGGAAACTGGTTGGCCATATGGTGTATTATTTGCTGGTTGGGTTGTCTTGGATCACTCACACGACCATCATGTTCTTCCTTAGCAAAGTATCTGCTGTGTGAATAGAATTCATGCCTGTCTTTCACGCGAGACGGTCCCGATCACCCGTTTGGCTGTTGTTATATCGCGAAGTAGATGCTTGGTTGGAGTCAATCGGTTGCTTTAGCCCCGGCTGTCAGCACGGCCTGGGAGCTGGAGCCGGCGCAGAGCATAACTCACCATGAAAGCCCGCTTCTCCTGAGCTGTCTGGAAGCAGCCATGGCCAAACTTGGAAGTGGTATCAATGAATTTGAGCTCAATGGCTTCCTGAGCCCGGCGGCTTGTATGCACCAGAAGGGACTGGAAAAGAAGAGTCACGATGCTTCAGAAAACCTGGACACCCGCTCTGATGGAAGCAGCGTTGAAATACCCTAGGTGCACCCATTAGACAAATATCTCCAGGAAAATCTGCCTTCTCAGAGAAACACCCTGGTGCTCAGGTGGCAGGTGACGCCCTGGATGGCAGAGCAGCTCCGAAATGAGCCTGCTCTTCACTCAGCATTTCGTTTCCTCGCAACCTGCTGACGGCCAAGGTTTCCATTTCTGCATCCCAGCCCCCACAGGCTTCCAGAGGGACCACATTTGGCTGCACGCTGCCACAAAGCATCTAGCTGCGAAGGGTCTCACTGAGCACCACCCTCACACGCCACGTGCCCTCTGTCAAGGACCCGACCAGCCCCCCTGCCCGGCTGTTAGGAGGCAGAGGCCTTCTCCACGGGGTGAAGCTGCTCGTGGAGAGCTACAGACCGTGTCCCCCCCCGCAGCGCCAGCCGCGCTCTCACCTTCCGGAGGGTGAGCACACGCTTCTTCGTGCCCACGACGCAGCCCTTCAGCATGAGGAAGTCGTTGTTGACCTCCCCGTAGTGAGGGAAGCCACCCTGCGGGGAGAGGCAGAGAGGAGGTCGGCGGGCGGGAGAGCGGGATGGGAGCAGACACGTCCGCAGGTGGCATTTTCCAGGGAAGGAGGAG